GGAGATTTAGCGTGTTTGTGAACGATAGTTTAAAATATCCTTTACCTCAGCTGAGGAACCGCCCTGCATAAGTGTGGTTAAACAATATTGGTTTGGGACGTCAGCGTTTGTTGACTATTTAAATCAGCAATATGAATTATGTATGAAAGGATGGTCATCTAAGAATTTATTAGCAATCTAAACGTAAAACTTACATAGGGAAGTCGACAGAGAGGTGAATTTTTGGGTGAACAGTAGTCTTCATCGATATCAGATGGTATGTTGGGCACCGGAAGTAGTTTCCTGAATAATAATCGCTGATGGAATGTGAACTTCACAGGTTAAGTTATTAAACTGAAACGCGTACGACTTGAAATTGTAGATTTTGTAATTTGCCGATTTACTTTTGAGGAAGACCTTGACGGCAACTACGCAACCAAAATCATCTAACCGGCAATCCGCCACATTATTCAGGTTAAACATGGTCATATACTCGTTTGGCTGAATCACAAGTTCTTCTGCATCTCTGTTGATGGTTTCGTTTTTTAAGTACTCATCGTCCAAATGTTTTTGGTACAATTTTAATTTTTTATACAGAAGATTAGGTGGGATCACCAGCATTGGAATTTTACCATCCCGACAAGAACTGAAGGTTAGTGCCTGGCCCAAAGTCATAATGGTCATCGACGATAGCTTGGAACTCTGTTGGAATAATCGCCAATTCGATTCTTGCATCGATTTAACTATATGGCGGAGATCTTCGTAGCTTCCTGCTGAAGCAGAGTTTCGTGCCAGGTCATATGTACTGTCGAATTTTTCATGTAAAGATTCAGTTTCTTTACCAGCTCTTTTGCGATTGGCAACGAATTCTGAAATGAATTTAGGAATGTCCATGAATGGCTTGAAAAACGTTGGCATGTGCTGAACCGTCATTTTCAGTAAAGGTAGAATACTGCCTGAACTTATAAACAGCTCCTTTAGGCCACTGGAAAACAGGGTCCTCCCTACTGTTGCCATTGGCACTAATAAACCTGGCGCAAATCTTTTATCCTTTGTATGGTATGATTTTTTTAGAGGCGTCATATTTACATACATTTTCGACATTTCATATCCAAAAGTTTGTGTGGAGGTGGATCTTGTCAATCTTTTCTTTCCCACCTTTCGGTCTTCTAAAGCTTCTCTCCATCCATCCATCCACAGTTTTTCAGTATCTTCAGCATTTGCAGAAGTGGTTGTTATGTTGTGTGAAATATTTTTAGGCTTAATATCTTCCGTTCCGATACCATTCGCCGTGAAGAGTCTTTGTAAAATTTGGAGTTGATTAAATGTTTGCACATTTATATCACTGATAACCTGATCCATAAGGCGAAAGGATATGGGCGTATTATGTTCATATTTCGGGGTCGGAAAATCATTTGAAGTTGCTATGTCCGGGATGGTGAACAGCATTTCTGCTTCATCTTCGTAAACTCTGACGTCATTAATTTGTTCCAGAATTGCGGAAGGTGCTATCCATGTAGAAATTGCTGGTTGACAAATTTATATCAAGGCTCGATATATTCCAACTTGGCGGTTCTAACACCATCCAAGCCACCCAGCGGGTTCTACGACCTCATCAACTGGGACATTCCTATTATAGCGACGGATTCTACTTTTGATTTCCAAACTCCGTCAAACAAAAAGATAGTATCTGATTACGTTATCCCGGAATTAATTGCTAGTGCAGATCCGAATTCAGAATTCACTAAATTCCTAGCCAAGTTACAAACTAAATTTGCATCAGTAAAAAACGATCAAGGGGTGCTAGGTATGGTGAAAGGCTTCTGCCACGAAAATTCGATGAACGCCTGGTCCATGGCTGTCGTATTTATTTTCACAGGTAAATTAGTTCCTGCCGAAGTAATAATTAAGGTTGTGGGCAAAGGTCACATTATCCGAAATAGAGGTGACACCCCCTTCAAAATTATAGAGTATACAGTCGGGTCAAAAAATTTACTGACCCCGTACCTTGCAAAAGAATTGAAGCGCATGCACGAAACCGGTTTGAGCCAGTTGTGGTACAATGTGTTGCAACAAAATGTAATCTTGCGACAGAAAGATGAGTTTATCGGAGTTAATAAATATTTTGAAGTTGTGCAACATGTATTTGGAAATGTGAGGGAGCCCGTCACATTTCACGAGTCACATCCAGTCTCAGTGGACAGAATTTTGCCCGTCTTTGTCTTGTGTTCTGCAGCTATAGCAATTGGGGTGACCGTACTCATGGTAGAATATTGGAAATGTCGTATCTTGCAATTTTTCATCTTCAAACTAGTGCGATTATTAGCCAAATTTTCAGGTGTCACGAAGCACTTATTTAGCAGTCTATCTGTAAAGTGTTCAGTAATTAACATGACGTCAAATTTTCACCGATGCTGGAAATCCTCATGAGGGTTCGGCGTCGATGGAGTTGTCTTGGTGATTTTTTTATCATCGTGGCATCGTTGTTGATGGTTGGTGGCTTTATTTGCATTCGTGAATGGATTGCATTTTAAGAGTATTGTTACAGAGGAGGAATATTGGATATCGTCCAAAAACTCGATCCCATTGGTCGGACGGGGTTTGACCAGTACATATCCGGGTAAAATCCCGGTGACAATTTAACCTCGTCCAATTTCAAGGCCGAATCAAATATCTATTATTCAATGTGCCGCACGGTTTGAAGGATGGGGGTAGATAGAAGACACACATTCAAACCCTTCCAGTATTTCAACGAGTAATACAATGTGAACATTGAAGTTGGTCGAGGTCACACACACTTGACAAAGAAGTTCTGATGGAGATTGATCTTAGTTGGGGAAAGGCATAATTGTTTAAGATAAGTGGCAGCCTGGCGAAAAACTTGACATCTACGGAAAGCATGAGATTTTCCACGATTTGTTGAATGGAGGTCACAAACAGGGACAATTCACGGCTATGGAATTGCCGACGTCATAAATTATGAGTCATAATTTATGACTCATAATAATGATAGAAAAGTCGTATATTTTTGGCAAGCCTGGGATCGAATTTTGGTAGGGTTGTCAAGATTTGGGAACAGGGTAAGATTTTCTTTATGTGGAAAAACGTCCTCTTTCCAACGACAGATGTGGACGGCGGATTTTTCGTTCCAAAGAGAACAAACGAGGCGGATTTTACGTCGGGAATGGATAAGGAGACGAAAATGAAGTCCAGAATCTTGTAATGGAGAATTAATAATACCGGAATTTACTCTAGTACGAACAGATACGAAGAGATTTAAGAAATATTTAAATACAAGAACCATTATTATTTATTAACATCTACAATCCAGCCATACCTCGATCACCAGCCGGTCCAACTTGGGGAACTTTATTTTGATCCGTTTCGTCCCCTTGTCCCCCATCGCTGTCAATTTTCACCACTGCAAAACAATTAATTTAACTATTGCCTATTTTTATTTAGAAACGTTATAATAAAACACACCTGTTAAACTACCTTGATCCAAGGGTTCAGCAAATACCGTAGAAATTACCCCCATACTGGAGGAAACTTGACGTTCCAAGTTATGATAACGCCGCTGGAACTCCTTATCTAGATTTTTTCCTTCCCCAACCTGTCCCTCGAGATTTGCCAACGAGTCCTTAATCGTCTTCAAATCAGCCGCCAGGATCTTGACCAGGTTATCGGCGAGGCCCTGTCGTTGACTTATCTGATCAACTTTCTCACCGAGGGATGTTATCTTCCCTTCAGTAGCGACCATCCACCCCTTCAAAATGTCATTCTGGTCGCTTATCTTCTTCTCCAACGCAGTCATCACGGCCAGGAGGTGGTTGTCGAGGTCAGCTTTGATTACAGTTGACCTTTCTTTGACAGCTTTATCCACGATGGCCTTCACACTCACACCGAGATTGAGAATGTCAAGATCCATCTCGTATCTTCTAGAAAAAAAATGATTACATGGATGATAAGTTAATTGTACACAGAGGAGAAATAAACACAATGTGAGTAATTAAATACCTTGGAACAATCCTAGTATAAGGACCCCTCTCCGATTTTAAAATTTGATACACCAAATTGTTCAGTTTTTTATGCTGATTACGAATATATAAATTTTTTGACCGGCAAATGTATATTAAGGTCACAAATTAAGGTCAAAGTTCAAAATTTGACCCCCATTTTTTATTGCATTTTTACACGTTTCAGGACATTTTAAGACATTTCTCATCTTGCCCCATAAAAATCTCACCTTACCCCAAAAATCTCAATTCGCCCCAAAATTTCTCATTTCACCCCAAATACAAAATCTAACCTTTTCCCGCACCTAGGAGTCCCAGAATTAATAATTCTCACTTTCCCCGCACCTAGGAGTCCCAGAATTAATAAGTCTCACTTTCCCCGCACCTAGGAGTCCCAGAATTAATAAGTCTCACTTTCCCCGCACCTAGAAAAACCTAACCTAAGTTAAGGAGGAGTACCCCGAGATATGTGGGGCGAATTGAGATTTTTATGGGGCAAGATGAGAAATGTCTTAAAATGTCCTGAAACGTGTAAAAATGCAATAAAAATGGGGTCAAATTTTGAACTTTGACCTTAATTTGTGACCTTAATATATATTTGCCGGTCAAAAAATTTATATATTCGTTATCAGCATAAAAAACTGAACAATTTGGTGTATCAAATTTTAAAATCGGAGAGGGGTCCTTATACTAGGATTATACCAATACCTTAATTGTACGAAGGAAAATTGATAATCTGAGGAGGATCGGAAAGGTTGGAAAATTGGGGAAAAATCCTTTGTCTTGTTGATGGTTTCAAACCTGCCGGTGTCAGGTAGAGGGGCGAGTTGGGAAAAATGTTAACGTCGGAATTATATTTATAGGCAGAATATTTTCTTTAATTTTGTTTTGTATTTTCAAGTAAAATATATTATCCCGAAATTCATTTATTCCTAAAATATTAGGTTTTGCATGTATAAACAAAACGAACTAAAACGTGACCCAGATAAATTAAAATTAGAGACTTTATTTATTTCGGAATAGAAAATACAAACAAAATAAAGTATGTAATGAAAGAGTAACACACAATACAAAATGATAATGAAATTGATAAGGCACATGATATTATAAGTACCAACAACTGGCCGACATGATACAAATTAGTTTACACTTTAAATTTAACAAGTTTTTTTTAACAAAAAGTAATGTAACAATTAAACCAAATTAACATTATTGCACAAGTGCATAACAGAATCTTCATCATTACCACACCAAACCGGAAGTAACCTCATCTTTTAAGTAAATATTTGAACAATGACATCATCTACTCCCACTTATCAGAGGTGCCCCTTTTTGTGACCATCCAACTCGTTCTGAGACGCAAATGTGGCCGAGCAACCTGTGCAATATTTTTTTGAATTTTAGCACGATTAAAAAACAATTACGAATTTAAATTCACCTTCAGACTCGCACTTCAACAATGTCTTCCCAACATTGGGATCCGACTGTGATCCACCTATCATAAAATAACATGCAAGTGATGAACAATAAATAATTTTGTACAAATTTTTTCCACTTTTTTTACCTTCTCCAGCAGCAATTTTGGTACAAGGCCGGGCTAGTTTTTCCCTGGGGGGAAGGACGATGTTTCGTACGCCGCTACTTGGTCTGAAATTTCTGTCCTTTTTGTCGCTGGAGTCGTCAATCGCAAAACTCTCGTCTGCTCCCAACTCGACGTCGTTTTCTAAAAATTATATACAATTGTGTAAATAATATTTACTAAATAATAGGGGACAATCCAATATTTAGTATAATACATGAGGCTTAATAATAACTTAATTAGTTCACTTACCAGGTGCTTCTGCTGCCACGCTTTTCTTCTTGCTTCCGCGCTGAGAATCCAAATTGACAGAAGATTTCCGTTTCTGAGAGGTTAAAACTTTACCGAAGCTGGTCCTCTTTTTCCCAACGTCCACACCTACGCAGGACTTTGTCCCTCGTTTGGATCGTCGTAACTTTTCCCGTGTCGGAGAGTGGCTTGCAGCCCGTGACCTGGTACAGGGGATGTTGACCTTGACCTTGGCCACCTTTTCAACGCTGTGGCGCCTGCGACCAGTTTTCGACACGACTTTGTCGTCAAGTTCCATCTTAACGTTACCGTGTCCTATAGATACATGTAATGGATATGATTTAATTAAAATTTAAGATGTCGTAAACAATTTTTTTAACTCACCCCGTGCTGAATTTTTCGTACTTTGACTTGAAGTTTCCCAGCCGACGGACCTCCTCGTGGTAATGGTCACGTTCTTATCGGCCCCACTCAAAGACAAGCTTCTCACAAATTTTCCAAGCTTGTCCCTTTTCTTTTCCGGAGTAACCTTCTTGACGGAGGGCTCAGTACTGGTGGATGGAAGTGAGGATAAATCTTCTACCGAGAGTAAAGCAAACGAAATTGATTAATTTGAGATTAAGATTAATTAAATTATCTTTAAAATTAATCTTCTCTTACGCCGGGCACGTTTCTTGGGAAGATTTTCTTCTCCTCCGGTCCCGACTTTATGTCCAATTCCACTTCCACTTGCAATTTCACCATCTGTTAATTAAATAATGAAAAATAAGTATAACAAATACATGTTGCGAAGTCTATTTACTAATTATGAAACCTGTTAAGTCGAAAATAGTAATTATTTATGTTATCAAATACTCGCAGCTCTTTTATTGCCGAGTGGATTTAATTTAACCTGATTTGTTAAGGGAACTTTCCTTACCATTGCTGTCGGGACGGATAGTTTTTGATGTTTCAATTTGCACTCCCACATCTGTAATGAAAATATTTATATTAAGGTTAACTAATAGTTAATTTCGCAATATTTACTTTGATCATCAGCCGGTCCACCTTGCCCATCACGTTGCCCAAATTCATCATTTTTCTCTCCATCGCCACCAATTTCCAGTCCTGTATCATTACATTTACCAACGACAATTAATTACAAATATTAAGCAAATCTCTATAAAATATTCACCCATAATTTAAATAACTCACCCTCCTCCCACTCCTTGGCAATTTCCTTCATTCCAGAAGAAACTTTCCGTCCCAAATTCACATACCGTTGTTCCCACACCTTATCTTGATTCCTACTCCGTTCCAAACTTGCCACCCGGTCCAAAACTGCTCTCATTTCCTTATCTTGTTTTCTACATGACTCCCAAACTAACTTTTCGACGTGCAATATCCGCTTGTCGAATTTGTCCAGTCGTTGGTTTGTCGCCGTCGTGTTCACCTCCTGCTGACCAGTTAATTCCAGAACTTGCCTCCGCAACTTGGTCATCTCGTTAGTCAAGGCGCTAACGAGAGGGGTCAAGGAGCTTATCGATGTAGCCGAATGGTCCAAACTCGGCTTGATACGGGCCTCGTAAAGTCGCCCAAATTCCTCCTCTAAAGAAATTGGCACTTCTTGCCGGACGAAATTTCTTACGGAGGCTTGCAGCCCGTCGAAAACCTGTTGCATCTCCATCGCAAGGACAATCTGGGAGGACAAGGGAGTTAAATTAATTAATAAATAGACTGTCAGGAATTAATTACTTACCAATTTAATTAATTTGTGAGAGGAACGAAAATAATGTGACTGCACGGTAAAAAAAAACAGTTGGGAGATTTTTTTTGCGAGTCGATGAACCGACGAGGTAAATTTAAACTGCTGGGGCAACCTGAGACTATTTGTGAAAACCATGGGCAAGATGGGGAATCATTTTGGGAAATATATTTCACGGATTATTAATAATAATTAAGGTAATTAATTAATGAAGATGAAATTTGCTTCTGAGATTGTTTAAGCATAGTTTATTAATAACACTAAAGTAAAAGATACTCCAAATTTAGCAAGAATAAAGCTTAACAACTTTTTTAATATGTTGTTTTTAAAATTATTTATTGCTTTTAAACGTCAATTAAAACTTGGATAAATATAATAGTGACTGAATAAAATAGTATTTAGTAAATACCATTTACAAGAGATTATAAAATCTACAAATTTTGAATAGTGGAACAAATAGTGGTAGGAGAGGTTTTTTTGGTGAAATTTTCTAAACAAATGGTACATTTCCAATCTCCGACTGTTGAGTAATTAAATTTATAAGACTTTACATTAGATTTGTATGTAAGTAACCAATTACCACAGTGTGGTAATTGGTTAGAAAAGCAGTGTGGTAACCACACTGCTTTTTTCTAGGACGCCCACGTGGTCTGGTGATTGTTTCCGGTGTGGATGTGCCTGGACACCAATCGAGGTCGTTGTCGGTGTCCATGTCAGAACTTTCGTCATCCTCGACAACAATGACATCTGGGTCTAAATATTATATTCAAACTTGAATCGTTTCCACGGAGGTAATGCTGTTGTCGACGTAGAGCGATCGCAACAACTTCTGCGCCACTTTCTTCTGGTAACCTTCATACTTTGACAAGTGAAGTTCCAAAACGCCTCCTAGAAGAAATGGGCTGGTGGTGACTCCAAATACTGCACGTGCATGTTGATAGACTTTGATCTTGCTGCTGCTGGAATCCTCCCACCACATAAACTTCTGATAGTTTCTGTCTTCATCATTAATTCCAATCATTTGGAAAGCTTTTCGTATGTCCGAAATCACCCCAATTCTGCCTAAATCGATGTAGCACGGAAGGAATTAGTTCGATGAGATTCGGCCCCTTGTATAGACAATCATTTAGAGATGGCTTTCCGGCACCTTTGCAACTTGCGTCAAAAACTGGGCGCACTGGCGTGGTGGTATTCTCTGGCTTGAATACAGGATGGTGAGGTAAGTAATGACCAGTGGGGGGCGACGTCTCCTGCACTGCCTCAATAATTCCTTCTTCCTCCCACCCTCGGAAAATGCCATCATACACTTCATACATTTCCTTATCCATTAATTTCTTAGTGGTAGACATCAGTCGTTTCTCGGCCACCACTCGATTTGTTGGTAGGTCACGCTCTGGTTCTCCATTCACCCATGGTAGGCTGGCAGAATAATGACCTCGATCATCTTTTGTTACATTTTCTAAGAAGTGTTGTCTTGCAGCTTCTTCTTGTTCTTTCTTGGTCTGCACTTGAACTGGATCTAGAATTCCCAATGTTTCAAGTGACCACATATCTTGAATTGAGCGTTCTTGACTTGATGAGAGCGCAATTGTTAGGTTTGATGCCAAATTCTTGGGGGCAGGAATTGGACCACTCAACACCCATCCAAATATCGTCTCTTCAGCAATCAGGTTTGCTCCCAACTCTACTTTCTTCCCTGTGCACAATTCTGCTCGCAGGTCAGATCCGACGAGAATTTCTATGTCGGCTTCATCTACGTGGCTGTTTTGACAATCCGACAGAAATATCCTGCTATTTCTGAGGCGATCTGTCCATGGGCCCTTAGGAACTCTCGGAATGGACGTGCAGATGATTGGTTTCTCTCTCAACGTCCACTTCTTCTTTCTTTTCCCATCCAGGCTTTCAATCTTGACTTCATGAATCTTCTCGGCGTGCATATCTGTTACAAATCCACCAAGAAGTAAATTTCGGACGTATTCAACTCCGATCGACTTGTTTCCAATGGCTTGAATGGTTCTTGATCCAATATAGCTCATTTGACTTCCTTCATCGATGAGAAGACGGACGACGGATGTACCAACAGGTCCAACGGCTCTAACTACCACGACCTTTAGTAGCACATCTGCATTCTGGCTGAAATTGGTGAGATGTGTCACTATATTTACTTGTTGACGTACATCTTGTCCCCTAACGTCACCTTCATCCCGTCTCGCTTCACACATAATACTTTGATGTTTTCTTCCGCAGTTTTGGCATTGCACCTCGACCCTGCAGGTTTTAGAAATATGGCCGGGGTTCAGACAGATGTAGCAAACCCTCTTCTCCCGTACCTTTTCTCTCTTCACATCAATCGTCATGCTTCTTGCTCGTCTACAATCTTGACTATTGTGGTTGGTCATGTCGCAAAAAATACATTGCAGTTTTGCTGCTGTCAATCCAGCCGAGGTGGGGATGTCCTCCTCGCCACTGAACTTCTTCTTTTGATGTAGATGCAAGTTCTTTTTTTCTTTCAAATTGATCGTGTCTTGCATGAAGCCATCTCGTGCAAGTGATCACTGTTCTTCATTCTCCACCTCTTGTCGCAGAAACTCCATGAGGTAATCGAGTTCTGATTTCGGTGGATTCTCTGCTGCACCGTCTCTTCGGTAAAAACTGCTTCTTTGCCAAGCCAGGAGGATGTCTTCTTGTAAACTAGACTCCACCATCGGAAACAAAAAAGTGTGTTCTCTGGTCACACCCAATGAGTCCAAAGCTTGCAAATGCGAATCCAGACTGTCGTATAACTTTGATAACGACATCTTCTCTTTTGACTTTGCGTTCCATGTCATCTTCAATAATTCTCTGACGTAGAATTGAGTCAACAACTTCGTATTCCCAAACCGGTTCTGCTGTCTGAGGATACTTCGTCACTAAATCATGAGCACGAGTTCCATTGACCATAGATTGCACGAGATACTGAAGTTTGTCGTGTAGCTCCTCATCCTCGTGAATTTTTTTAAATTGAGACCAAAATCCTAGCCATTCTTTGATTTCTCCATTAAATTTTCTTATTTGGATCTTCGGCAATTTGTAGGATTTCTTCTTTTGGCCATCCGAATACACTGATGCGTAGCTGCTGGTTGGGCTGCCTTGTGTAGAAGGAACACGCGTCATAATTTCTCCAATGCGACATTTTGCTCTAGTCGCCCGGTTTTGATATTGTTCAATTGTATCCTTTTCCGCCGCGTATTCATCTTCAGTACAATCTGCATCCAATAGCAATCCCAACATCTTCTGATCAAGGTCGTCGACTTCTGTTAGATGCTTCTCCAGGCGGCTGAACATAACTTGGAGGTCTAACAGGCCGGGTGTGGTCTTCGCCAGTTCAGCATCAACTTCATTGGCTATTCTCGTTATTGATGCTCTCACTGGTGTCCTGACTTTCCTTAGGCGGTCCATTGCGCGAATCTCAGGAACAACAGACCCAAACAAAACAAACAATTACTAAAGGAACCGGACAGAATTTTACTGAACGATCTCCACCTCAAATGCTCCTGAAGGCTCAGGATATGGCCCTCAAAGAGGAAATACAACAATTATTATCCAAATGTGGTTCCAATTGGCTCGGCTTCCTTCCTCACAGTTCGGCAGGCTCGTTCTCCTCCTCCCTGATTTGTTGGACAGGAATAATTGAAAGATTTCACCTGAATCACCCCCGAATACTCAGGGTCGGGTCCTCGAAGAGGCAAAGTGAACGATGATTCCTTCCTATGTCTTCAGGTGGCACTTGTAGTTGGTCGTCCTCCTCTCCCTCACCAGGTCACCGTGATCTCGCTGGGTACAAGGGCCGGTCGTTCCACTACACGCCTTTCCGTCAGCAACTTCTCTTCAACCTTAACCCATAGGTCTCACTCGGGGCACCAAAATCTTGAGACACGACAAGTTACCTACTAACCGTAAGGCTCCGTCTCCTAATATTATGACCTTGGGTTATTATTGCCACTAATCCTGAACGTGCCCTGACTCATTGAACTCTAACGTCACAAAGAATACCGGACGAACAAAACTGTGGACTTTACTTTAACCACTTCGGATAATCTATCTAATCAATGAATATGAGTAGCAGCAGCAATATTACGAGTTTGTATAAGTTTATTGTAAATCCCAATCAATTAACTTAATTTACACGTTACTATCTGCTCTCCTAAAAAAACACTTCTTTTCTCTTCTTTTTCTCTCTGACAAAACTCTACTCTCCCGCTGGCTTTTAAATTACCCAGAACAAATCTCACATTCTCACATTATACATATGAAATCCAACACATATCGTTTAGTAAATTCTGCTTGGAATACCATTTTTTTTCTTTGCACTACTGATTTCCTAAACAAGAATTTATGTATCCTGGGTACATTTTTATATATTATACATTTTGATACATTACAAATATTTTGATATTATAAAATATGAAATTGTTTGTAAATTATGGATAATGTGAAAAAATGATTTCGTATCACGTCTTTCTCCGTCCTCTCGAATGCTTCTCGTCAATATGTTTCTGGACCTTCTCCACCTTTCCATAAAATAATTTCCCACAAACCCCACATCCAAAGGCTTTCTCCATCGTGTGCTTATTCACATGTGACAAAACTGCGTGGTCATTCTTAAGAATTTTTTCCCCACAAAAGTAACAGATCTCAGTTTCCTCTTCTATTTTGGGCTTATGCGTCCATTTTCCATGGCAAATCAGATCAGACGGCGAACCGCTCGAATAACTGCAACCATCTTCACGACAAACGAACGGTTTCTCCAAGGTGTGGCGACGGACATGAATTTCAAAACTTACTTTGTAATTTGAAACTCGTTTTGGGCAAAAGTAGCAGAAAAATGTGTTATTTCCATGATTTAACCGGAGGTGTTTCTTCACGGCAATATTGTTTGGGAATGTTTTCCCACACTTGTGACAGTCGGTCGATTTGTGTGGAGTTGAGGGATGAATGAGGTTCATATGCATTTTACGATCGGATTGATATTTATATTTTTTGGGACACAATTGACACTGGAACAATGCCTCGGTCTGATGTGCTGCTTGGTGTGCTAGAGACAAAAAAGTTTTGCATTTCATTGCTAATATCGTAATGTACTGGACAACTTATATAATTTAATGTGTGTTAGTAAAATTTGAGATATCCTCATCCTCACCATCCAATATACTACTGGTCCCAAATTCTCGATGGCATTTTCCACAACTGAATGGTTTTTCTCCCAGATGCGACGCAATGTGTCGATTTAGATTTGATTTATTCTAAAACAGTTACACATTTAGCAATATACACAAACAAATAATTTAGTGTGTTTTAAACATATCACAAATAATTCACCTTAATTATTCTCTCACACAAGGGACATTTAACTTGTAGCTCGGTCTTCGTGTGGACACTACTGATATGCCTGGTTAAATGGCCTCGTGTAAAATAAGCCTTAGCACATGTCTCACACCGGAATAATTTCTCCCCCATATGCGCTGAAACAATGTGAACACGTTTGATATGCTGGTTTAAATTGATCTTGGTACAAAATCTTTTGTCACAGGTCTCACACCGGAACAATTTATCCCCCACGTGCACCGAGGCGTGATGGAGTTTCATGTGCTCGTTGGTTATGAAGTACCTGCCACATTCTGGCTGCAGACATTTGAATTTCCTTTCCCCCGTGTGCTTGACCTTGTGCACCTTCAAGGCTGACTTAATTTTGAATATGCCAGCAGAGTTTAGAAAATCGCATGAGAACCGCTTTGGACAGGTGTGAGTTCGATATTTGTGATCGCGTAGGCTGTCCTTGGTATAGAATGATTTTGTACAACCGTCAAAGTCACAGCGGAAGGATTTTGAAAAGTTTGGATTTTCACGGAGGTGGGTTCTCATGTGACGTTTAACCTGCGTTGCGGTGGGAAATGATTTAGAACAGTGGACACAAGGAAATTCAATTATGGGTTGGATAGGGGATGACATAATTGTGAGACGGTTTGATTAAGAGAGATTTAATTATTTTTCAATTGCAAAAAAACTATTTGATATGATGCAATATTTTAATTTCTGTAATACAGAATCAACTTGATTGAATCAAGCTTGTAATTTTTGCGAATTAAAAAACAAATATTTATTTTACTAGTGCACCTTTCTGGACATGGTTGCAAGTAATACTAGTTTGAAATAAGGATGTGCAGTGTTACTTACTTAGGTGGTACTGTTCTTATTATCTCTACGATATACGTACATAGTGTATGCTGTACGGCACTAGCATATGTATTAGAAAGGTAAAGATTCAAAGAATTGGGAAAGTTGAACTCTATTGTTTTCTAACTTAGGTTTCCAGGAAGTGATGCATCTACCCTTTATGTTTCTTGACTGCCATACCAAAGTTATTTATACCTTCTCCGTGTACGAAATAATTTAATCTATGGACATAGACGTGTGTCAAATATTTACTATTTTATTTGAAATATACACATACAAATAATGGATATGGTCGATTTGAAGAAGTGTGAAGCTATTAACTGTACTTGCTAGAAAGGGGCCAACTTATCTCACAGATTTTTTAAAATTGTCTATGAATATTAGATTTAATAATCACCAGTCAAATTGTAAATATAATTCAATTCCAAAGTTAATAATACAGCAAGATATGTAAATACTTATGTACATATTTAATAAGTATTTAATACATGCTTAATCAATATATTATATTAGTGACAAATATGTATGTGCGTCTTCGGTATTTGCTAAAAAAAATCATTTACATATATTTTTATCTAAATATAATATAATAATAATATAATAATATATTGTGGCATGACATAACTTATTTACATATTACACAACAAGAATTTAGTACGTATATATTTTTATGTAAGATTCATTAAATTGTGATGACCTTACAAAATATGAAGTTGGACATAAATTGGGAACAATCTTAGAAAGCAGTTTCTGCCATGTCATCACTTTCTCCATCCTCGCGAATGCTTGTCGTCAATATGTTTCTGGACTTTCTTCATTTTTCCGTAAAATAATTTTCCACAAATCCCACATCCAAAGGCTTTCTCCATCGTGTGCTTTCTCAAATGTGTCAAAACCGCGTGGTCATTCTTAGCAACTTTTTCCCAACAAAAGTAACAAACTTACGTTTCTTCTTCAATTTTGGGACCATGCATCCACTTCCGATGGGAAATAAGATCGGATGGCGACCCAGTAGAATATTTGCATCCTTTCTCCCGACAAACGACCGGTTTCTCTAAGGTGTGTAGACGGACATGGGTTTCAAAATTGGCCTTGTAATTGTCCACCGGTTTGGGACAGAAGTAGCAGAAAAACGTTTTATTTCCATGAGTTAATCGGATGTGCTTCTTCAAGGCAAACTGGTTGGATTTCCCACACGTGGGACAATTGGAAGATTTATGTGGGGTCGAGGGATGAATTAGTTTGACATGCATTCCGCGATCTGAACGATGTTTGTACTTTTTCGGACAAAATGGGCACTGAAATAACGCTTCTGTCCGATGAGTTGATTGGTGTACTAGAAACAAAAGCAATTAAAAACTGCATTACAAATATCCCGATGTGGAAGACAATTTTAATTTACTGTATTTATACATAAATGTGATCTATAGAAAACCTGTATTTAAATGATTTGCTACAGGACCTCACCATCTAATGAAGTAGTTGTCGTAAATTCTCGAGAGCATTGTCCACAACGAAATGGTTTTTCTCCCAGATGCGATACAATGTGTCGATGTAGACTTGATTTATGCTAAAATACATATGTAGGTATGTTATTATGTAACAATACATCCACATATATACAAACAAACCACGTATCTTAAATATATTACTTAATTCATAATTATTTACCTTCATTTTGATCTCACACAAGGGACATTTAGTTTGCAGCTCGACCTTCTCGTTAATGTGAACACGTTGAATATGCTGGTTTAAATGAACTTGCGTAAAACATTCCTGCGTACAAGTCTCACAACGGAATAATCTCTTCCCTACACTTAAAGGATTTTACTCCTGTGTGCTTTATCTTGTGTGCTTTCAAGGCTGACTTATTCTTAAAGATGGCGACACAGTTTTTAAAGTCACAGGAGAACCGATTTGGACAGGTGTGAGTCCGATATTTGTGATCGTGTAGGCTGCCCTTGGTATAAAATGATTTTTTGCAATTTTCAAAGTCGCAGTGGAATGATTTTGAGTTTAGATTATCTTTGAGGTGCGTTCCAATGTGACGGTTTGCGTTCGCTGCGGTGGAAAAGGATTTGAGGCAGTGGGGGCAGGGGAACTTTACGGACGACATAATTGATTAGTTTAGAATTTATGAGATGTGATATGTTTGATTAGCAATAAATTTTTAGAATGTGCTGTTTCTTCAAAGTGGAAAAGTGGCTACAATTTTTTGCCTAGAAATACTTTTGAAAATATGTGTTGACAAGTTGTCAATGACAACTATAGCAGTTTCACGGACGGAGTTGAACAAAATACTAATCTAAAATTAGAATGTGTAAAGTATTCCTAAATGGTTAGCCTGCCCGAGGGACCTATACTTGTAAGGTGAGAAGAATGTTCGATAGTGTTACATATATGCCCAAAAGTTTAACAAATCCAAAGTAAATAAATATTGTGGGATGTAAATAAGCTCTTCTTGGAAAAGGTAACAGTGGGTTATTTTACGTGCATGTTCAGACTCTTTTTATATTATATTGGAAATAATTTTTCACAACTTAATTCAACAGAATTTTTCTTTATATCTCTTGACGTAATTTATTTAGGATAACCTAAGATTGTTATCATCACTGCAAGTGTCGCGTGTCGCGATGTATCCACCTATTGTTTTTGCTTAAGTTACTGCCATGGTGCACCAAAGTAATTTATATAGGACATCTCCATGTAGGAAATAATTTAATTTAATCACAGGTACATATCTAGAAGTGTGTTAAATTTTTATTATTTTATTCAACATATAATGGATAAGAATAATGGAAATAATGGAGGAACATGATGGATATGGTTAATTTAAAGAGCCATAAAAAGATTAACTATAGTTGCAAAAACCTGGCCTGCTTACCTGCAGATTTTTCAAATTGTCTATGAATATTAAATGAAATAATTATCAAACAATGTTATGAATCTAATTATATTCTCGAGTTTACAATACAGTTAAATATGCACATTTCATATATAGCAAACAAACTAAGCTTAACCAATAACTTATTTTGGGAACAAATATGTTAACAGTATTTGCTAAGAAAATAACTTTATTATATTTTGAACTAGGTGTGACATAACATAACTTATTTACACATTACACAACAAGAACATAAGTATGTACATATTTTTAAGCAGGATTCACTGAATTGTTAAGACCTTACAAAATATGCGGTTGGTCATAAATTCGGACAATGTGTGGAAGTTAATTTCTTCTGCATGTCGCCCAAATGTGGCAAGCTTTTCTTTAATCTTGGCAAATTGTTCTTTATATTGCTTCACTTGGTTCGCAGGTAACGGAAGTAGTATTCTTGTCGTCCTCATAGGTGCAATTGGAAAACCGAACCTACATCCTCGTCGTTTGTCTTCGCAAGTATGTGAATGGTTGTGGATTTGGTATGCCAGGACTTCCTTCATGTCATCGGATTCATCTTTCTTGCAGGTTATGAATTCATCTATGAATTCACAACAAGCTTGGTGAGTTAGCGAATTTTCTTTGTCAAACGTCGGAGCATCCTTAATCCAATCCATTCTATGTGTGTGAATTGACCCGCGTTATTGAACTTCTTTCCTTTTAAAGAAGTCCTGGTGTACATAAGGATGAAAGATTCCACCCACTGGCTTGATCAAAAATCTGTCCATTGCCTTCTCCCGTCGGTCGTAAGCCATTACACGTCCTATCGGGTCATGTCTTATGAGATCCGCTTTAGCATCGAACTTCATATTAGAAACTTCTTCATTAGTTAACACGGTCCCATACTTCCTATTATGGAGCATGGAGATCAACTCGGGCCATTTCGTCTCTGCAGCTGATGTTGTAATGAAAAATGTTGGGAGTCCAAGTTGACGAATCATGGCCATTACGTCCTTCTTCTTCTCTTCCAAATATGACGGTGAGTTGACAATGTTTGACAAAGCCGATACCCGTCATCGTGTTGAATTAAGCTCTGGACACATTGCTTGTTAAGTAGGTTTCCAACAGTCACGATCCCACGCTTTTTCTTTTTTCGAAGACATATGTTTATGTTACTAGCGATCCTATGAGTTTGAACGAGACGGTAGCTATATAAGATCTTGTCTGCTCGTCTGCAGCGTGGATCAAATCTGCGTAGTTCGGACTTTGCAATATCACTATATGACAAGTTAGCTTCTGGATTCAGTTTTCGTTTGATGCCGCAGTAAATGGATGGAAAAGATAACTCTTCGGCGTCGAGATCCATAAGTAAAGACAACGGGCGCATTCCTTCCCCAGGTGCCACTGCCATGGTGCCTCTTCTTGCATTAGAGTTTCCGTTAACGGTGGATCATTGTCTTCAGTTTCGGCTTTGTCACTGATAGATAAGTCTTTAATATTTTCTATGTCTGTATAACTTTGAGTAGCATCGCTTGGGTTTACTATATATTCTACTGTGTCTGTTGAAACACTATTAGCCCAGTCTGAGGATAGAAATACCTTTTCCTTTTTATACAATTCGGTACGTACTAAATAATTTGCTGCATGGAAAACTTTGTATGGTCGAATTGTTTGGAACATGTATGGATGTTTATAAGTCATGCGGCGCTTCAATTGAACCTGTACTGTACTCGTCTCATCAAATCGGCGGGGAATAACTTTGGCGACTATGTCCATGTCGTTTGGAACGTTTACTACTCCCCCTCGGATTCCGTACTGACGGTCGCTCCCTAACGATCTAATCTGAGCAAACGGTAGCCTCAATGCAACCAAACGTTCCTCTAAGCTAGTCATGCTCTGTAATTGATGTGGAATGGGAGGAAAATACAGTCCGTTTGACATACACAGGTATCTCACAATGGAAAGATTTACACAAAATATCAAAATTGGTCTGAGCCTTATGACGTGAAATTGCTTTTTTAATTGTGTTTTGCTGCTGTTCGGCCTGTTTGAAAGTTTCGTCTTCTCGGCGGGTAGCATGTTCCATCCGATTCCGCTCATTTTCCGCGTCGCGATAATCCTCGTTTCCTCGGCGGGTAGCATGTTCCATCCTATTCCGCTCATTTTGCGCATCGCGATAAGCCTCGTCCGCTCGACGGGTAGAGTGGTCAATCCTGTCCCGCTCTTTTTCCGCTTCACGGTAGATGGAATCCTTTCTGCGCTCGGCTCGTCCCGCTGCATCTCTTTGTTGCTCTTGCTGTCTTAGGTTTTCATCCATCCTTTGTAATTTTTGAGCAACTGCATTTTTCGCGGCTTCTGTTCTCCGGAACTCTTCGTGTTCTCTTTTTCTCCGCATTCTTTCTTTTGCACTAATTTTTTTGCGAGGCATTATGACACTAACAGTTACGTACCTCTCACACCGCTCGATAAGTCACAGCCGTCGATATGTCACACCACCCGATTCGTTACACCGCCTGATGTATCTCTCCGACTTGATAAGCTCTCCTCTGGATAAGTTGCTCTCCCTGTGGATAAGTTGCTCTCCCTCTGGATAAGTTGCTCTCCCTCTGGATAAGTTGCTCTCCCTCTTGATAAGTTGTTCTTCTTCTCGAGTAAATAATTGGGTATGCAATTCAAAAAAACAGCGACCAAGAATTTTTAATAATTCTGCATTATTAAAAATACGGATGTTTTCTAATTCACAGAGTTTTCTATTGTTTCTATGTCTGATTTGCCGGACCATAGCTACAAAAATTTAAATTAAATGATGCATTTCCGGATATTAGGAATTTATTTCCTAATATCCATTTTTATACACAAGTCTATAAAAATTTGAGCCATGATTATGTCAAAATTGTGTACCGATTCCACCCACTTAAGTATAACAGGGCGAGCTTCTTCTACCGCTACAACGGTTTATTGGAGTTTTACACGGAAATATGAATGAATCCTTCGTCTGGGGTCCTAGTAGATTCTAAAAACATAGTGGGTACCCTGTGCACGATAAGCAGTCGGGGAATATCGAAGTTATGTCGCAGTTATGTCGCAGTTGGGCCAGTTCCTGCCTATGAAGAATGATATTGCAACCCTGATCAGACGTGGAACTGTGAATTAATCTCTTTTTCAGTATACCCACCATCGTTTCCCTACGTTGCGCAGTTTACCCCAAAGATAACCCAGTTTAATACAAAATAAACCTGAACATAGCCTTCGCACCAACCATAGAACGTGATGGGTACACAATAAAATTATATCGCTGCTCGTCAATCCCCTACGTGTGAAGAACGATATTGCAACCCTGGTCAACCGTGGAGCTGTGAATTAATCTCTTACCCAGTATACGCGTCATCCTTCGCAAACCTTGTGCAGTTTACCCCGAAGATGCCCCAGTTTGATACAAAATTAACCTGAACATAGCCTTCGCACCAACCGTAGAACGTGATGGGTACACAATAAAATTATATCGCAGCTCGTCTATCCCCTACGTGTGAAGAACGATATTGCAACCCTGGTCCCGCGTGGAGCTGTGAATTAATCTCTTACCCAGTATACGCGTCATCCTTCGCAAACCTTGTGCAGTTTACCCCGAAGATGCCCCAGTTTGATACAAAATTAACCTGAACATAGCCTTCGCACCAACCGTAGAACGTGATGGGTACGCAATAAAGTTATGTCGCAGTTGGGCCAGTTCCTGCCTATGAAGAATGATATTGCAACCCTGATCACACGTGGAACTGTGAATTAATCTCTTTTAAAGTATCTCCCACTTTCGCTTCCCTACGTTGCGCAGTTTACCCCATAGATAACCCAGTTTAATACAAAATAAACCTGAACATAGCCTTCGCACCAACCATAGAACGTGATGGGTACACAATAAAATTATATCGCAGCTCGTCTATCCCCTACGTGTGAAGAACGATATTGCAACCCTGGTCCCGCGTGGAACTGTGAAATAATCTATTACCCAGTATACGCGTCATCCTGTCCAAACGTTGTGCAGTTTACCCCAAAGATAACCAGTTTGATACACAATTAACCTTAACTTAGGAGGGGAGCTTGCGAGGTTGATAATAACAGATCTTGATGCCCTTTGGATATGTGATAGGGTCTCAGGAGTGTACTAAAACCCTGAAGTGGTTTGACTCCATGGCCACATTTGCGCCCGCCACACCCACTCAAAAATGCCCAAAAAACGCTTTCACTCCAGTTTTCACTCACTCAAATCCACGTCAAAAATCCAATTTTACTCGGATTTTGAAATTTCTTTCATCATTACACTCCCAGATAGTTGCTTTCTTCAATCCAATATCAAACCCAATTTTTTCGAAATTTTTAGTATTTTTAAAATTTGAAATTCTGAATGAGGATTGTTGTAGTAATCAACAACTCAAATTACGCCTGCGAAATAATCATCAGCAAAATTGAGTTTGATATGGAATTGAAGAAAGCAACTATCTGGGAGCCTAATGGTGAAAGAAATTTCAAAATCCGAGTAAAATTGGATTTCTGGCGTGGATTTGAGTGAGTGAAAACTGGAGTGAAAGCGTTTTTTGGGCATTTTTGAGTGGGTGTGGCGGGCGCAAATGTGGCCATGGAGTCAAACCACTTCAGGGTTTTAGTACACTCATGGGACCCTATCACATATCCAAAGGGCATCGAGATCTGTTATTATCAACCTCGCAAGCTCCCCTCCTTAGCCTTCGCACCAACCGTAGAATGTGATGGGTACACAAATAAATTATCATCTCTTGAGTAGGTACACATACTATTGCTCATGGCTTTTCTAAAGAAATCGCGTTCAAATTTAAAACGGGGCCGCTTATGACTCTGCTGCAGGGGGTACCAGTGAGATTTTTTCTAAGGGCCGTATGCAAACTCAAAACCTACTTTGTAGATTTGATATAGCCCGAGTCAGACCAACGTGATTATCCCTCAATCCCACTTTTTGAATGACATTTTATCGTAAATGCATATCAAAAAACAATTTAAAAATTTAAATTGACTTACTTTTCCAACTTAAAAATTTAAATTGATTTTTCCAATTTAAAAATTTAAATTGATTTTTCCAATTTAAAAATTTAAGTTGATTTTCCAATTTAAAAATTTAAATTCATATTCTTCTAACAGTATCAATTAGCAGTCTATGTAGCAAATTTCAGCTTGATACGACGATTTAAAAAATCCGTAAAGGTCACCCAATAGGCTCCCTCCAGATAAAAATTGCCCCGATTTTAATTCATATTGTTTAAGCCAAAAGCAACCTCAGCAATTTCAGCTCTATATGACAATTTTGAAAAATAGGTATGGGTCAACCTACTCCTACTGGGTTCCTCCTCCTTTGTTACAAAACAAAGAATGGATTATGGGCCAGTGCATACGGCACTATCTGCATATTCACACGATGGTGGTGGTGTACGTACGCAAATGAGTTTAAGCGGTGAAAAGCCCGATTTCTTTAGATCTGACAAAAGCAATATGTATTACAGATGTATGTAATTATTGCCAGTATTGGATTTTATATAACCGGTTTAGTAATCCGATCCGATCCGATCCGAAATCCGTCGGATTGATCCGAATCGGATCGGATTGGTCGGTCAATCCGCCTCGGATCAATCCGATACCGGGCATAATCCGAGTC